CTGGGGTGACCAGGATGCAATTTGCATAAATGTAAGAAACACAGTTGTCAATATGTTTCTCCATGTGGCCTTTATCCTCTCTGTTCCTAAGTGATGAGAGATGACACTTCCTTAGACAGGGGCTTATTCTTAAGGTTAATTGAAAGTGGCCTTTCTCATGAATCATCCACTGCACTGAATTATTCATCACCTGCAGGCATTTGCAGGCCTTTAAACTCGTGGACTTCCTGCACCCCTCCTTGGAAATGCTTCTGCCAATGGAGATATGACTTCCTTTTGGCCATGGAAGAGAGAAACCATGTCTGCTGTTGTTTCCAGGTTTCCCAGCTCCAGAGACACAGGGAGGAGCAAAATCTGAAAACAGGAAGCAGAGCTAGGGCTACAGCTAGACCAAGGAGGCTGTTCTGTTCTGTGGAGTTGGCTCCAGGCCAGTCAGGTCTCAGAGCCCCTGTGGGACAGTGGATGGAAGGGAGGCTGGCACAGTGCCTCTGGCCCGTGACCTGATCCACAGGAGATGGTCTCCTGGGGCCTTGCATGAACCCATCAGCTGGTCACCGGGTAGGAAGGAATGAGCAGACCAAATGCTAGACCTACCTCCATCACTTACTGGGAAGGCCATGAAGCCTCTTTGAGTCAGTTTCCTCATCTGAAGGGGTGGTCCTCACCTTGCAAGGCTGACCTGAACCAGAGCTCAGTGGAATGATGTATACCAAGCCTACACCCTGATGCCTAAAACATCAGAAGCAGAAAGAAAGGAGGAAAGACTCAAAGCTCACTGGACTGGCTAGACATATGGGGTGGACATGAAGTTCGTGTGCAGTTTAAATAGTAAACTAATTTAATATACTATTAAAATAGTAAACTAATTTAAATTGCACATGAACTTCATGTCCACCCTCTATAAGGTGCTTGTAAATAGAGCTGGCAACGTGAGGGCAAGTCCCGGCAGCTGGTCTCCAAGATGAGGCTAAGGCAGTGCTGTCAGTCCCTAAAAGGGTGATGCAAGAGAACACTGGCAGAAGCTAGTGGCAGCTCATCCCCAGGACACACGCCCATCTTTGCCACAGCCTTGGCACCAGATACTGGGTTTGCCTAGTAGAGTGGACATGGCCCCTGCCTTCATGGAGTACCTGGTCTTCCAGAAGGAGTGCAGTGGGATAGCAGTCACTGGCACAGTCCCATACCAACTTGGTAGCTGCAAGGCTGGTGAGGAAAAGGGGCGGGGCCTCGCAGAGAGGAAGATGCTGGAGGCTCCTCTTAAAGGGTGAGTAGTGGGCAAGGAGGGTAGGAGGGGCTCTGAGTATTTCAGGCAGGGAGAGTACCAAGGGGAAGCCTGGGGCATCAGCACACATCTGGGCGCTGGGCATGACAGAGGGATGGGGAGAGGGAGTTCCAGGTCACTGAGAATAGGAGGGGAGCCTAGAAGACACAAACTGGGGAGTAGGTACAGGATCAAATCTAGCGAGCAAAGAGGAGGTCAGCACAGCGCTGAGGTTTGAGGGGGTCAGCACAGCGCTCCAGGCAAGAAATGATGGAGACCTGGGTGAGGCTTTTGGTGACAATGGCGATGGATGGAGGAGGAAGAGTTGGCATGACTTAGTGACAGCTAGGGAATAAGATGGAAGCCTTGGAAAGGCACAGCATGGGGATAAGGGGATGGCAGCTCTGAGCCTGGCACTTTCTCACTGGCCATGCGCCTTTCCCTTTTCAAAGGTCATCCACTACCTGACCTCACACCCAAAACAGCCTGAGTGCACCTCAGGCCTAACCATGGAGGCAGTTGGTATAAATGGGGTGCTGCGCCCTATTAGGGGTGGTCAGACCAGGTGCAGGGCAGTGGGAGGAGGGGTCAAGACAACTGAAGGGTTACACACAGGGTCATGTGGGCCTTGCTAGCTGACTGAGACCAGCTTTGGGCCACACTGAGAACTCCAGGCGGGAGGTGGCGGGGGAATATAAACCATCCCTCCCAGGGTGCTGCATGGACGCTGTGACCAGCACAACAGTGCCCCCAAAGACATCCACATCCTAGTTCCTAGAACTAGGGTCTCTGAGTTGGGTCTCTACGTGGCAAAAGGGACTTTGCAGATGTGATTAAGTTAACGATTTTGAGATGAGAGATTATCCTGGATTATCTGTTGAGTCTCATGTAATCACAAAAGTCCTTCTAAGAGGGAGGCAGAAGGAGGAGGTGTGGAAATGACCTGCAGCAGGAGAGACTAGAAAAGGCCGTGCTGCTGGCTTTGCAGGGCAAGGAAGGGGCTGCTAGCAGGTAGCCTTGGAAGCTGGAAAAGGCCAGGGAAGGCTTCTCCCCTAGACTCCAGAAGGAACGTAGCCCTGCCAACCATTTTACATTTCCAACCCCAGAACTGTAAGACACATTTGTAGTTTAAACCAGCAAATGTGTTCCCCCTAAAACCTCCTGTCTTTCCCCTCAGGTCTGAGTTAGATATGTTTCCTTATTAGTTTCCTCCTGAGGGGGAAGACAGGATGGTTTGAGGGGAACCCAGGCCCTATCACCTGAAACTCTCAGAGAAGCAAAAGTTAAGGCCCAGAGTTCACTGGACACTCTAGCCAATCTGACTGCCCCGAGGGCAGGTCTGCAGGAGGACAGAGTCTGGTAGGGGAAACGCCCTGCCTGGCCCCTTTTCCAGGGTGAAATGGAGAGGAAGGCCCAACTTCAGGGATAGTTGCCAGGCAAAATGTGGGCGTTCCTGCCTTCTCACCCACCCTATCCCCATCCATGCTCCAGAAGGTGAGTTGCTGCTGTCTGGGTACATAGGATCACTCTGGGCTCCCAGCAAGCTCCCTGCCCCAGCAAGGTGAGGGGGACCCCAGGTCAGGACCCATCCCACCTCAGGTGATCCAAAGCTCCAGCATGGCAGAGTCTCAGGCACACTGCCTACATGGCCTCCTAAGACAGGCACAGGGCCCCAGACTCTTGTCTTTGGACACAATCTTCAAGGCTGTAAAATTACAAGACCAATCCCCCTGACCACCACTACCCACACACCCACACCCACACGACACATACCTTTACAAACGCCTGAAGATCTCAGATGCTCCCCACCAGAATCTCCCCAAGGGAGCTGTGTGGGCCACTAGGGTGACATACACCAAGAGGCCCTGGCATGTGGGAACAAGCAGAGGCCCCCATAGGGCCCTTATAAAAGCCCCTTCCTCAACCAGCCTCCACTGGCAGGCACAGGCTCTGGGTTCTAGTAAGTACCATGGTAACAGAAGCTGTGAGACTGAGGGGACCCAGGTGATGCTGCCCTGGATCAGATGATCACCACAACAGGGGCTGGGACCCGCTCCCCTCCGGTTCTTAAAAATCCCTTTAGATACTGTAAATCACTGTTGGGGCAGTCACCTTGTAAGAGCCCCTTGCATACATTAATCCTCGAGGGGGTGCTATTACCCCAACTGAGGAAAGCGAGCCCAGAGTGCTGAAGTTACATCCTCCAAATCGCACAGCTGGAACTAGCAGAAGCCGAGTTGGAACCCAGGAGGTCGGGCTCCAGAATGGTGCTCTAACTCCTGGTTATCTTGTCTACTGAGACAGGTAACAGTTACACGTGAGCGCTGCACCGCCACCTGGGGCTGTCAGGCAATCCTGGGGCCTGAACAGGAGTGGAGATTCTGTCTTGAGATCTGGGCGGGCTTCCTGCGGCCAGGATGGGAACCGGGCCTGGAAGAGGCGCGGCCTTAGCCTGCAGAGAATCTGGGGAGGGCGAAGGTGCATGCCATAACCACCAAGGGTGAGGGCCAGGTGCAGAACCCTCTGTTATACGTGAGTGGAGAAGGCTTTAGTTCTACCCTCCAAGATGGGGCCGATCTTCTCACCCCGCCCGTCGGAAGCCGCAGGGAGCCCCTGGCGCTCCTGGCACCGGCGCCTGGGACCCGCCCTGGCCGGAGCCCTGCGGTTTCCGGGAGCTCGCGGTCGGCTCCGCGCCCCTCTTGGACTGAGGCCAGGCCCGTTCTGAACTGACCTGTAGCCTCAGGGCGCTAGGTCCCTGCAGTCCAGCGCGCGGCCCCCAGCACCTCCACAGGGCAGCAGCGCGACGACGGATCGCTCCCCACGCCCCCACCTCCTGCATATCCGACGGCCCTGGGCTGTGCTCTAAGAGCTGGCCCGGAGCCGCAGGAGGAGGCTTCCAGACCGGCGGGAATCTGCCCAGACTAGCGCCCCAAGGGCCGTCCCCAGAAGCCCCATGGCGGGTAAGTGCCCCCCACTCCTCTCCAGCCCCAGGGCGGCGTCCCCTCTGCCACCCATTCCAGCACTTGCCTCCTCCCGCCGGTCCCGCTGAAGCCCAGCGCTAACCCTGCCCAGCCTCGCCCTACTCCTAGAGGGATGCCAAGATAGAGCGGGTGGGGGAGGCCTAGCTCATCGCAGTTGGTTGCGGCTTAGTTAAGTGTGGAGGTCCCGACTTTTCACTACCCCACACTGTCCAAGCCCTGGAGCCCGCGCTTTCTTTGCTCCGCCTGGGCAGCGGGCAGGTGGGAACAAGCGTCTGAGCGCCCAAAGCAGGCGCCAGGCAAAGCCCCCCAGGTCTTACCAAAGTGCCAGAAGCAAAAGGCCCCTTCCTCTCCATTTCCATACCCTTGCCCTCCTCCTCATCTCATTGCCTCCCGCTGACTCCCTAAATATTGGCTCATCTTGATAGGGGTAGGGAAAGGAGTGGGTGTTAGAGGTTACAGAACCCAAGCAGGAGTCCAGCCTCAAGAGATGTTCCAGGACCCCAAGGGCTAGAGCTCTAAATGCAAACCAGGAGCAGTATTTCTTTCCTGAGCTTTCCTCAAATGATGGCACTCACACCCAAGCTCCCCTTCAAGCCTCAATAGGAGCCCAGGGAAGATGGAGGTTCTGGTAAGAGGAGGTTTGATTTCTACTCAGAAGCACAAGGAATTGCTCCAGCCAAAAATCCCAAGGCCATTGCCAGATGCTTTCTAAGGCAAACCAGAAGGCTTTGCCCAGGGCACTTGGGACCCCTGGGGAAATCGCCTTCCGCTGAGACCAGGCACAGCCCAGCTAGCAGCACCTCCCCTACAGACACAGGAAGCCTGCTTCTGTGCAGCCTCTGAGATGCACCCCTGGGGTGAGGAGTTTGAGGAGGCATCACAGTCCTGGTGGTCTCTCCCCCCAGAGCAGCTGGCCCTTATGATTGGAGGCGTCATTGGGGGGCTCCTGCTGCTGCTGCTGTTGATCGGGCTGAGCTGCTGTCTGTGGAGGAGGCTCTGTACCACCCTTGCCTATGAGGAGCTGCCAGGGACAACAGCCATGGCCACTGCAGCCACCTTCAGCAGACAGGGGGACAGGCTCTGCCAGCTGCATGCCAAGACCCCACCGAGCAGGTGAGGCAGGATGTGGGGCCTGTTGGGCTCCTGGCCCTGTTCAAGGGCCCTCCCTGTGGAGCTTCCCTTGGGGTGGGGTAGGAAAAGAAGGTCCTGTTAATGGAGTTCCGGCCACCACGCTGGGAGCATCCACAAGCTAGTAGGTAGGCATTATGAAACCCATTTTCTAACTGAGGAGACTGAGGCTCAGAGGCCATACCTATCAGGCCCAGATAGCAACAACTAGTAAATGGTAGAACAAGAGTCAGAATCCAGACAGGCTGACGTCGGAGGCTGTGTTCTTTCTCCACTATCCCACTGCTATGAGCAGACAGGTGTTGTTGGCTGACTGTGGGGGTTGGGGCATGCCATGGGCTCAGAAAATGATGCTCTGGCTTCCTCCTGGCTCCCACTGGATTTTTTTCCTCCAGTTTCTGGGCTCACCCTGCTTGGCTGAGTGCTCTGAGGCTGTGCCATTCACTTGATACCTACTTGCCATCTTCTTCCCTCTGGACAGGCCTCCGGGTATGCCATTCATGGTGCCCCCTTCCCTCCGAGACCAAGACTGGGTGCCTTTGCACAGTGGAGAGAGGGCCCAGGCCCCACGGGACCCCTGTCCAGCCCCGGAGCTCCTGCCTCATGCCCTTGGTGAGTGCTACCTCCAAGGGTTCTTGGGGGTCAGGGTCCACTCAGATGAACCTGCCTGCTTTCACTGGCCTGGCTCTAGAACACAGCTTGAACCAGCCCAGGGATGCCAGAGTTCCCTGGTGACCACTCTTTCTAGCACTTTTGTTTACCAAGTGCCTGCCACACCCTATGCTGGGTGAGAAATGGCCTCATGTGCCATTTTGGTGTGAGACCTCACCCTAACTCTGTGAGGGAGGAATTATCACCCCATTTTACACAGTCATAAACTGAGGTTCAGGAGGGTTAACAGGCCACAGATATGGTAAGTGATAGAGTTTGGAACCCAGCCCATGCCCAGGTACAGAACTTGTGCTCGGTCCTGCTCAGAATGAGGGGCTGGCTGACCGAGAGGGCAGAATGGTAGGAGCTGAGAACAGTTTTCTGCCACCTCTCTGCTCTAAAGACCTCCTAAGAGACCTTCCCAGCAGCCACCCAATAATCAGCTTGCTCCTTCTAACTCAAAGGGGAAGGGAAAAAAGCAACAGGTTATCACTGAGTCATTCTCTAGACACCCTGGGGGCCAGGCCAGGTGCTGGGCACTGTCCCTGAGTGCAGGTCCTGACTTCCAGGGACAGGGTGGTTCACAAGGGGCAAGGTTATGGGGCAGTGTCAAATGAATACTCTGAATTTTTCTAAGGCCCAGGCCTTAGTGTGCAATGCCTTTGTGCTGAGAAGGCTTCCTGGAGGAGTTGCACTAGGGAGAGGGGATGTGCTTAGGCTAGAAGGTTAGGGGTGGATGTGGTCAGCTAGTTGAGGTTCTGCAGCAAGGGATGGGCAAGGATGGAGTTTGCGGCTCTATCCTAGGCCCTTGCCTTCTTCCTGTGGCCTGCCAGCCCTCCAACCCTCTGTTGTAGGAGACAGATGTGTGGTGGGGGCCATCAACCCAGAACTGTACAAGTTCCCAGAGGACAAGAGTGAGACCGACTTCCCTGCCGGCTGCCTAGGGCGGCTGTGGTTCTCCGTGGAATATGAGCAGGAGGCTGAGCGGCTTCTGGTGGGCTTGATCAAGGCACGGCAGCTACACACCCCCTCAGAGACCTGTAGCCCCTTGGTGAAGCTCCATCTGCTGCCCGATGAGCGGCGCTTCCTCCAGTCCAAGACCAAACGCAGAACCTCCAACCCGCAGTTTGATGAGCACTTCATTTTCCAGGTACAGCCTGTGATCAAACAGGGCATAGTGCAGTCTGGCCTCCTGGGAAGCAGCAGGCATCGCACAGAACCCCAGCCTCCTGTACCAGCCAGGGCCCTGCAGCCCCCTGGGACCCTCCACACCAGCTCTGCTTTACCCAGAAGCAGATCCCTGATGGAGAAGGTGCCCAGAAGGCTGGGCTCCTCCTGTCCTGGCTACTTGGAAGAGAGAAAGAGAAAGCACATTTTTAGAGTAACTGTTGAATTCCAGGCCCCTGCCTGTGGGGCTCAGAAGCAGCACCCCAAAGTCCTGGGGCAGTGTGGAGTTTCTGGCAAGTTTCTCCAAGGAAGGTGGAGTTGGGGACAGAAACTGTCCTATGCTGTCAGAGGTCAGCACAGGTCCAAGAGCCATTCTGGAGCAGGTGTGAAGCCTTTGTTGCACCTTGGGCTGGCTGGCTCAGGGTCTGAAGGTGGCAAACCTGTCAGGGTACTAAGCCAGTTCTGCAGGGGCCTGGGAGCCTCAGCAGGTGACTTCCCTTAGGGGAAGCCAGCAATTGAGACTTGCCGAGAGGCCTTGGACAAACATTTTCTCAGGCTGGCTTGAGAGGTAAGGAGAGGCCAGCCAGATTCCAGGAAGAGTATGATTGCTGAGGCCAGAACCATGATTCACACCTTCCTCCCAGGCTGAAAGCTGGGAAGAGGGGTGCCATGGGGCCTAATCCCAGGCCACTCTGCTGGGACCAAGGCTGTGAGAATTCACAGGTGAATCCACTTTTCTCAGGACAAGATCCAGGGCTGCTGCCTTGCTGGCTGTACGGCCACATGTCATGCTTGCCTACCATACCTATTTTTCTTGACTCACCACACCCCCACTCCAATCCACCCTGACTAGATCCTGCCACTCTATGCTTTAAAAGGGGAGGGGAAAAAGAAGAAAGGAGAAGAAAATCAGTATTGATGGGCCATCTGCTATAGGAGAGGCACTGTGATCAGGATGTTATCCCCATTTCGTCACGCTGGCATGCCCCGTGAACCAGGCCCTAGGCCTGAGCTGCAACACAGGACCTCATACTTACTGTATAGACATATCACACCTGTGGCACCTGTTAAATAACAGAGTCCCATGTTCCTAACAAGGCCCCAAGTGGTGTAGGACACTGTGACTGGACCACACTCTAAGTAGCCAGACCCTGGCACATGTTCCCACTTCCAGGGGCTACTTGGTCCCACTGCTGAGAAGGAGCCCCTGAAAATGCCTGGGTTTGGGGGATATAGGCTCCTGTTGAAATACCCTGTCCCCTAAAGTCCCTGTGTCCAGAATGAGTCACACCTTCCCATGTTCCACTCCCTACATCTCCATCAGGTGTCCAGCAAAACTGTCACCCAGAGGGTACTGAGATTCTCAGTGTACCATGTGGACAGGCAGAGGAAACACCAGCTCCTGGGCCAGGTGCTCTTCCCCCTGAAGAGTGAGACCCTGGCAGGTGATTGCGGGCGCATCATCTGGAGAGACCTGGAGGCCGAGAACCTGGAGGTAAGATTGAGGTCACCAGAGTGTCATCACTGCTGTGGGCAGTCAGCAGGTGTGCATGGGGCCCAGCACCTGTCAGCCAGCGTCAGCCCTCCCATAACATACTTCACCCTACAAGAGTGACATGGGCCCCAAAGCTGTTAGATGATGGACAGACCCACTCTTGAGCAGGGAGGAGCCACCTGAGGTCCTTTTACACTGGCTGTCATGTTACCTGGGGCAACATGAGAAATCAGCATTCGGATTCCCATCCAGGTCAGACTTCTGTGAAAGGTGACACCACAAATGTACAGCCCAGGAAAATGTTCCCCCAAGCCCCAGGAAGGACAAGGTAGCTCAGAATAGACATTGGAGTCCCACAGACATGGGTTTGGTTCTTTAGGTGTGGTCCCTATGGCTGCACCAGTCCCACAACTCTCCAGACCTTAGTTTCCCCATCTAGTAAATGACAGTGGAGCCCAGAGGAGCCCCTGTGGACGTGACCCATGTCCTGCTGGGAAGAAGGAAGGAGGTGCTGGCAGGCTCCCATGGCCCCGGGCACCTGTCAGGGTAACATGGCTGAGGTGCTTCTATCTCGGCCTTCCCAGCCTCCCTCGGAGTTTGGCGACCTCCAGTTCTGCCTCAGCTACAATGACTACCTGAGCCGCTTGACGGTGGTCGTGCTGCGTGCCAAGGGCCTCCGGCTCCAGGAGGACAGGGGTGTTGTCAGTGAGTTCCTCCCTTTTCCTCCTCAGGGAAGGTCCTGCTCGCTGAGTTTGGGGTCTGGGTCTAGAATCCATCCCTCACCCCTCGCCATCCAACTTCTGCTTGCATATACCCCATCACAGAGTGCCTGTTTCCTCAGAAGGCATGCCCTTCCTCTGTGGACCGTTTGGTACAAGAAGCCTCTTCCTATGTTGATCCCAAAGCTGCATGTCCTTAGCCTCCACCAAGGGTTTTAAGCCAACCCCAACCCCCAGACCAAGCCCTGCCCCTCCCATTTCCCAAGGAGTGTCTTGGCCCTTTAAACACTACTGCCCACCTCTATCTCCACCTTTCCATCAGCTGTGGGGTCCAGTTCCTCCAGGCAAGGCCCCGCACCTCCCTGCTCCAGGATTAGGAAGAGCTTCCCACTCACTAGGGCACTGCTGCTCAGTGGGCTGTACACCTGTCCCCCAGCCTCCCAGAACACAGGAGCAGGGGGAATGGGCCCTAGCTCACCCCATACATCCCACCCCTATGTGGGTCGCCCCAATGAGGTGGTGGTCATCTGGGTCACTGTAAGCTAGCTAGGATTTAGACCTTTCACTATGGAGTCAAAGCCTTCTGCCCTCTGCCTTCTACCCCCAAATTCTTGGCCCTCTGAACAGGAAAGCGTTTAAGGGGCCCAGGTGAGCCTGAGGATCCAGCAGACCTATGGTCCCCATGGCCATGTGGCCAGGCTCTGGTAAATAAGGGCCAGCCTGCCTGTGCTGGGAGTGCATTCCTGAAACAGAGGAAGAAACAGGAAGGGAGCTGGTGCTCCTAGGACCATGTGAGGCAATCACCCCTCTTCCTCCCTCTGACCTCTGGCCAGCCGCTGGCAGTGTGAGTGACCTAGGGCCTGGGTTGGGCAAGTACCCTCCTAGCCGGACCTCCCACAGGCAGGGGCTGGGCTCCTGCCCACCTCCCCAGCCCACTGCTGTGCACTGCCCCTAGGCGTGTTTGTCAGGGTGTCTCTGATGAACCACAACAAATTCGTCAAGTGCAAGAAGACTTCAGCTGTGCTGGGCTCCATCAACCCTGTATACAATGAGACCTTCAGCTTCAAGGCCGATGCCACCGAGCTGGACACTGCCAGCCTCAGCCTGACAGTGATGCAGAGCCTGGAAGGGGACAGTAAGTCTGCTCCCCCAACCCCAGGCTGTTGGGGCAACAGGGAAGGGAGGGATGGCTGCGTGTTCAGACAGAGCAAATGCTTCCCACTCTCACCTTGGAAGGAGCTCTGTTCCCACGTTAAAGAAATGAGTGCTCAGAGAGGCTGAGATACCTTTCCAAGAACACGCAGCTTGCCAGCAGGAGGGCTGTGTTCATGCCAAGCTTCAGTCCAGTTGGACTCTGTGTGGTCCCTAGAAAGAGGTTAAGAGGTGGCCTCTGCTAACCATCCCCTCATGGGGCAGCTCAGCAGAGAGGTTAGGAGTGACCAGCCAAGTGACCTGGTGCTGTGGGCCATTGTGCCCTTGCATTTCTTCATGCCTTCTAGACAAGCTGTTAGGGTACCAGGAGAGTTATCCCAGCCAGCTCTCCTACACTCCCCCATACCTGGTGCCCACTGCCACTGTCTGGGGAAGTAGAGCTATCAAGCCGTCGCTGGTCCCACGAGCTGGACTTAAGACCTTTCTCCACTGTGCCAATTGGGAGGAGAACATTATTGTTGAATGCTCTTGCTGATAGAAGAGGTCTTCTTTCTGGAGGCCCCTTTCCTTCCCCAGGTCTTTGACGGCAGGCAGGCTTAATATAGACCTGCAGGAAGATGCGTGGCAGAGCGGGTGGCCCTGAGGGGGGGCTCTTCCCTAGGCTCCAGGGGTTGGTAGAGGAGAAGCAGCTCTCCCAGCTCCAGAGCAAAGGCAGGGCCTTTTGGGGGACTGTCAGCTTATGCTAAGAGAGGAGGGGCTTGTTGCTACTTCTTTCCAGGGAGGAGCGAGTAAGAGAGAAGTCACTGGGCGTGTCACTGGGGATGTGGCTCTGTACTCAGGAGCACACCAGCACTTTCTCTCCCTTGCAGAGAGCCACCAGCTGGGCCGGGTGGTGGTTGGCCCCTACATGTACACCCGTGGCAGAGAGCTGGAGCACTGGGACGAGATGCTCAGCAAGCCCAAGGAGCTGGTGAAGCGCTGGCATGCGCTCTGCCACACCCCCGAGCCCTGACCGGCGCCCAGGACCGTGGCTCTGCTTCAGGAGCCCACTCTCCTCCCAGTCACATGGGATGGCCAAAAGAAAGGACGCTTCATTCAACATCTGCCCAGTCTGCAGCTGTAGCCAGTGCAGCCTCCCTCCACACTCCATCCTTCCTACCTGTGGAGCTGCCCAGGCTTGGAATCCTGCCTCCTGATCCTCACAGTCCTGAGTCAGACTGGAAGCTCGGGGGTTCAGAAGAAATATACCAGGTAGCGATGGCCTGGCCGTGTACACCACATGGATGTGCAGGACAAACCTGGGCACCACTGTCAGGGAAAGCTGACAGCTGTTGATGCAGTTGATGACTGTGCTGTTCTTTAGCTGCGGTTTCTTGGCCTCTGCCTGGGGGGATAACAGAGACTACCTGTGAGCCACCCAATTCAGTACCAACTGGTAGACCAGGTGTCAGCACTGCTCACAGTGCCAGGTGAAGAAGGCCTCCTGTGTGTGTTAGGTCTTTCCCAGGGCTGTGGTCAATCTCACCCCACATCATGTCAAGCTTTGCCCATGGCCCACTCTCTCTGGAATCCAAAACCTCCCACCCCTGGTACTGTAGTTTTCCGTGGTCTCTCTGTTTTAACAGCATTCAGTTCCCAGGGCTCTCACTTGAAGCAGGACTCGGTGAAAGGCACGTGGCCATAGTGTAACCCACAGGGCTGAGCATTTTTCCTGTACACCAGGACTCCAGTGTGATTGTCCTGCTGTGGTAAGCAGCAATCTAAAGTTCATTAAAATGAAAGTCCCCACAAATCCCAGCCCTCAACTCCCTGGGAATTATACTCAAGCTAATGAGCAGTCACTTCTTTGTCACTGTTATTGAGACCAGCAGTCGGTATTTGCAGCCTACCGCCTTGGCACTTGCGGAGTGAACACTTTGTTATTATATAACTAGAAAAGAACCTTGAACTAGTATCTTTTTCTTATGCAGTGAAGCAAGTTCAGCAAAATAAGGTAGTGAATGTTATACCAAGTCTGTGTCTCTTTAACTTGTCTTCCTATCTCTTTGTCGTTGCACAAATAACAAGCTTTCCTGGCAGTGGCCCATATGGACAGAGTGTTTTGTGTTTGCTTTTTCTCACTTATTTCCCCTGCACATTTTCAAAGCAGTCCACAAAGCTGCAGTTTCTAATAGCTTCATGGCACACACAGAATAGTTCTCTATATGTTTACAGAGCAGGCTGCTACTATGGAAGTGCTTCTGTTTCACCTGACATCCACATAGGTGCCAGCCACCTCCATATTCCAAGGTGTGATTAATGGCTAGCAGTGGCCTTTCCGAGCCACTTGGAAAAGTTAGTAAGTGTCCTCTTTGTAGGACAAAGTGAACTGGTATATCTGACTCACCCTTGAAAAATCTAAATGCCAAAAGACTAAGAGGCTCTCTGCTCTGAGACGGAGCTGTTTTGAGCCGTCCTCTGTCTTATAGTCACAGTCAGGGCAAAATAGACACACATGTTTCTTGCAGACCACATCCTGTCCACTGGTGACTCCAGCAGGAAGAAGCTCTTTGCATTTCAATATAACATTTAAGAATCAGCTGGCCAATTTCCACAAAAGTGCTAGAATTTGATTGTATTTCATTGAATGTGTAGACCAACATTGATAACTTTAAAATATTGAATCTTCTGGTCCATTAACATGGCGGTAGGTCTTTTGTAAGTTTCTTAGAACTGTTTCGTGCTTTCCAGCGAAGTGTTCTTGCTCAGCCTTCATTAGATTTACACTCAGGCATTTTGTATTTAATTGGTAGTGTACCATGTTATAGAGATTCTATTGCTACAAAAATACGTTGGCTTTGTATCTAGTCAGTGGCTTTGCTAAATTCATTTAAATTGTAGTAGTTTCTTTGCATATAATCATGTCCTCTGTGAATAACAGTTTTATTTTTTCCGTTCCCAATTGCTATGCCTTATGTACTGATTATCAACTTGCAGTGGCTGGGCACTTGGATAAGAAAAAAAAGGACATCCAGATTATGAAGGAAGAATTAAAACTGCATTTGCGGATGACATAACCAATTAGAGTTAATAAACAAGTTCAGCATGGCTACCAAATACAAGATTAATATAAAAATTGCATTGGCTGGGACCTAACAGCACAACGCTGACTCCCAAGGAGTAGTGATAGTGGGTACCTTTGTCTCATTCTCAGTCTCTGGGGTGGGAGGCAGGGGCCTAGAAAGTGTCAATATTCACCATTAAGTATGATATTTGCCATACAATTTTTATTGTATCCATGATGTATATTCCCAATTTGTTAAAAGGTTATTTATTTATTATTTATTTATTTATTTTTGAGACAGAATCTCAAGCTGTCGCCCTGGGTAGAGTCATGGCGTCACAGCTCACAACAAACTCAAATTCTTGGGCTTAAGCAATTCTCTGCCCTCAGCCTCCGAAGTAGCCGGAACTACGGGTGCCAGCCACAAGGCCCGGCTTTTATTTTTGTTGTCGCAGTTGTCATTGTTGTTTTTTTATTGTAGCTGGCCCCAGTCGGGTTTGAACCCGCCAGCTACGGGCACCACCTAAAAGGTTATTTTTTAAAATCACGAATGGTGTTAAATTTTATCAAATACTTTTTCTGTATCTTTTGAAATAACTGTTTTTCCCCTTTTTTGTTTTCATGTGACAAAATTGACATCAAATATATAGACCAGTTTGTGTTCACATATACCATCTTACCATTTGACTTCTGAATGTCAGACCAAGTGTACATTCTCAGAATAGAAATCAGTGGAGTGTGTATGTGGGGGGGGTGTGGAGGTGTATGCACATGCACAGTAATACTTGGACTTATTTATTTGAAATTTAGATTGATTTGCTATTATATTTTTAAAGGTTTTTGCAGTTATGTTCATGGGAGACTTTCCTATAATATTTTTATTATAATGTTCTTACACTTAAAAAGAACGTGTAGTCTGCAGTTGTATGCAGGTGTTTCATGTATTTCAATTAGGTCAACTTTGTAAATCAGAT